CTCTTTGGGCCTCTTATTTAAAATTAAATTTGAATTACAGCAAAGAGCTTGCCGTGTTAGTCCATTTGATTTACCTTTGTTATCATTATTTATTTATTGATTTACTTTATTTTAAGTTATTGCAGACAGGACAGACATGACAGAGGGATAGGAAAGGGAGAAAGAAAGAAAGGGAGAGAAGACACTAAAAAAATTAGCTGGATTTAAATGAAAAGCAAAAAGAAAGTAGCACAATATACACAACACCACAGCAATAACCTAGATAAGTGTAAGTAACAGTAAATACTAAATATTGAATTTTATTGTGCAGCACGTAAGACCGACAGCACACAATGTGTGTGAGCGCGCTTGTATTCAGAAGGTTTCTCTATGTAACGATCGGCTGGAGGGAGTGGGGAGCCATAGCCCTGCCCCCCAGAGTATGAAGCAGACACGGAGGAGATCCAGGCGTTTTTCGACGTTACAATCAGTATGTAAGCACACAGGTTTTAAAAATCACAAACTGTAATCCATAAAATGCAGTCTGGTCCATAATTATACTTTTGGTAGTGAGTTCATACAATGGGTTTGGTTTTTTTGTTAGCAGGATTACTCAAAACAATAGATGGATTTAGATGACAATCTTTGCAAAAGGTGGAGTTTGATCAAGTTTAAAAGTGATTAACTTCACCAGAGTAGGAACCAGGAAGCTTTGGGAAGACTATTTACCAATATAAAGAGAGTGACTGTGTTTGTGGGTGCTGCATCCTGGAACCTTTGGGCTTGGCAGAGCACGCAGCTGTAAGTGATGTGGCTTCCTGTAGAAGCAACAAGAAAAAAAATCATTAAAAGTTCTACAAAGGTGCATAACTTTCCATTTATCATTATCCTGAGATAACACTTTTTTGACGACGAGAATAAAAAACAAAAGAAAAAAAGCAGTTTGTTGTGAGCTTGGGCTTGAAGTAGCAGTTTACAGTTAGTTAGCACTGTGGATACGATCGAACTCGCTCACATGCTGAGGGAGACATCAACTGGACTGAATATGTTGAAAGACTGAGAGACTTTTTCTTGGCAAATGAATTCTTGATGAGGGGAAGGAAAGGCCAGTTCTTCTCAGTTCAGAACAAGGAAGTACAAGTTGATATGTAACCTAACTATGTCTTGGAATTGAATCAGCTTCAAAGATCTGGTAACACTGGTTCAAAATCGTCGCTGCCTCATGCATTGATGAGGCAGTGTTGCTAATCCAACTTCATGCTCACTGTGTGATGTTTGCAGGCGTTTACTCTGTTTAAATGATGTTACAAGTAGTCTGTACATTTTTAAGTAAGCACACAGGTTTTAAAAATCACAAACTGTAATCCACAAATTGCAGTCATGCCCATAATCACACCTCAGTTAAGCCAGGGCCGTGCCAGCTCCAATCAACATCATGATAATCATGGTTCCCAATAGCTAGATGTCTTCAACGTCCTCCATTGAGAGTGTTGCCAGACACATAACCTGCTACTTCTCCCAGTTGTCCATCGTGTATCCAGCAACAAATGTCAATTGCGTTAAGAGACCAATTGACCATAGCAGTGTCACTTTTCCCTCTGAAATGACTAACAACTACTTTCTGCATTAATTAGGGTAGACAAACCCTTACTTCCAATCGGTGCCCACACCCTGCATTTCACAGAAAAAAATTACGGAACCTGTTAGAGGTCTACTGTTGTTTTACTTCCAAGAACTGAGACCTTTCAAACGTGAGACAGGTAACTTTGAGTCTTTGTTCCTCAAAATTTGTGTCCAGTGGTTGTCCAGTAAACTAAAGCTTTACTTATTAAATACTATCTGTGGTTCTCCATCTGGTTCATTAATGTTAATCCCCTTTCTACAGAGAAACTGGGTTGTAACCGCTGTAAACAATCATGTGGAATCTAAGCTAATAGAAAATTGAAAAAAATTAAAACCTTGAACACCCTGGCACAGCTTGTGTCATGTCTTAGCATGCAGTTCAGCTTCTTAGTTGGTGAATGTAGTCACGCATGAATAGGATGCAATTAGCATGAATCATCTAAAGCTGACTAACCAATAATATTGCCTAATGTTGTATCAGACTATCCCATCTTTCTTTTGGTTCATGTTGACTGACTCAGGCTTTTCACGAAGACCTCAGTTGCTGATATTGGCCAGACACACAGCTCTACGGAGAGTCATGCTAGTTCCAGACTTCTTCCATCTACAGATGATGGAGGCCACTGTGGTTGTTGGGGCTGTCAGTCCCGTAGTAATTTGGATTTCATGGCTTGGTTTGTGCTCTGATATGCAGTGTCAGGTATGGGATCTTTTATAGACAAGTTCCAAATCCTGTCCAGTCAACTGAATTGCCCACAGGTCGATTACCGAAGCTGAAGAGACGTCAGACAGATGATCAGTGGAAACAGGGTGCACCTGAGCTCAATGCTGCCAACTGTGTCATGGCAAAGGCTGTGAAAACTCATGTTATACTATTTATTTATTTAAAATTTATTTGCAAGAATTTCAAGCAAACTTTTCATGACTTACGGAGTATTGTGAATTTAACTCATTTTGAAATGAGGCTGTAACATGATGAAATATAGGAACAAGTAAAGCATTGTGACTATCAGATGCACTGTACAAATAATCCCTGAGATCCAAAAACTCTGCTCTGAAGGCTGAGGGTGAATAGAGGGGCTACACAAAAACCCAATATATGTCCCCTTAACCCCTAGTGTATCATGTTTCAAACACAGATTTTCTGTGAGTTTTTGAGACTTCTACATCATCAGTGTGATTTTTGTCATGTATGGAAATTAAAATTAACTTAAAAAAAAGTCAGATGGTCCAGCCTGAATTTTTACAAAAAGTGTAATTTTCCTCCAATTATTTTATATTTTAGGCTTTAAGGAGATATATGGATTATTTAGTTATTCCAGTACTGTCAACTAAAAATAAAAAATCAGTTAAACTGTATCTTTTAAAAGTTTAATATCAGAACATTCCACTTGTCGTTCAATAAGGACCTGGGCTGTGAACCATACCTATATTTCTGTGAATAAGAGGGAAAATTGCTAGATGACGACAGTACAAAGCTTCACGGGACTTCGCACACCAGTTGGTGGCGTAACAGTGGCATTTTCCCCCTAAAGGGACTCACATCTACTTTCTGCATAATTTTGGTAGACACACCTTTCTACAGTGAGAAAAGTAACCTTTCGTTTCCCAGTGTTTGTGCGCTCTGCTTTCAGACCTTATCCACTTGTGGATAAGTGCATTCACGTTTTTTCTTAGCCAACTGTATCCCTAAGATCTCATCAAAACAAGTAACTTGGCACATGCATAACCTTATTTTTGGGCAAAGTCACCAAACATTTTAATAGCATTTTAACTTAAATTTGATCTGTAATTCTTCAGACTGTTTTATGTCTCTGTGACCATCAACATGAAAGTTATATTTCACTCCCCATTCTTTCAGGTAGAGGATTCAAAATGAATAACCAGAGTGATATTGTTTTATTTTGCTTACATAATCTGTTGATGAAGCTGTTCTTTCATTTTAACAGAACTGAAAATGCTGTTTATTTGAGTAAGTGAGATCTATGACATGTTATTTTATGCAGATTACATTGTGTTCTCACAAAAAACAGTGTAAGAAGTCCCACCTCTTAATTATTTTTTTCATTTGCACACATTTATACTTGTTTCAAAATCCATAGCATTTTTATACCCCCCCCCCCCCCAAAAAAAAAAACAACAACAACAAAAAACCCAAAACAAAACAACAGAAACACGCGTAACTGCACAGATACACTAGCTTTCCTGCTGAATGAGGTCTTTGGCTTTCTGCAGGTTGTGATCGATGGCTCCATCTAAGAACTGAACCCAGGTCAGTTCTGACTCCCCACACACGTGACTGGACCTGAACAATGATAAACAGAGTCAATAAAAGAGCATTTTCCTCTCACATCACTCATAGAAAGAAACCAGATTGTCCAACATTGATGTGAACAAGTCATGTTCAGTGTTCATGCAACCCGAAAAGATGTAACACAACATGATCAGATAAGATCAGATTCTCAGAAACTCCACCCACCTCTTTCTCAACATTCTCTAACACACCCAACTACTTTCCCCGAGGGAAACTGGTTGACAAATTAGACCAGGCACAATCTGCTTTCCAGTTTTATTTTCATGTTATGTTGTAATGTCACTTAACCTAAAATGTCTAAGAACATTTTGTTTTGACTGTAGTGACTCTTACCTGATGATTTCCAGAACTTTCTTTAGAAGTGCTGCTAATTTACACACCTGTTGAGAAAAAAAACAAACAATGTCTTTATTCAGGTTCTACGTTTATATATCATGAAGAGAGAAAGAAATTATTTTATCTCCTGCTGAATTTTTAAGTTTGCTAACTTACAAAAGAACATAGAGACTCTCGGCTGCCTTTGGATCATCAACAAGCTCCTTTCATATAGTTTTCGACTGATCCATCACCTTTTTCAAGATCATCCTTACCCCATGAAGCAAGATTACTTTATAACTTTATGTAATGTGTTTTTTCTTCTATATTTCTCATTCTCATCATTCTGTCTCTCTTTATTAAAATGAAACTACCCTAAAAATGAAAGACTGTTCATTTGTTTGTAAGTAAGCAAACTTAGAAATTCAGTAGAGGATCAAATAAATAATTCCCCAACTGTATAAATTCAGACTTGAGTCCCCTCTAAACACTCTGTTTCATAACATGTTTTTTTGGATCAATACGTCAGAGATTGGACATCCTTAATATCGTCATCTCAGGCACACAGCTCTGACTCTAATCACAGAAGTCCCACTCATCTACTGTCCAAACCTTTTATTTGCAAAATGTGGCCAATCAGAAGAAAGTCGCGATAAAAGGAGTCATAAAATAAAACGATTTGTTTTTAAACAGAGGATGATCTGAGAGGCTACACCACAGCCCATAATATGATAAATAAAGATTATAACAGGCCCATTTAAAAGTGTAGTTCCAATACATTTAATTTGCTGTTTAGTAAAAATACAGTCTGAGCTGTGTTCAATACTTTGGAAAAAGAGTGGTGAACTGAGAAAATTCAGAAGCACAAATATACTTTTTAGGAAAGTCAAGAATATTCCTTCTTGACCACAAAGAAATGCTCATGCCCTGTTTATATTAACATTTCTTTGTTTGCTCTCAGTGTTAGCTTGTGCAACTGCAGAGTCATAAAATGATCGCTTTTCATGATTGTCAGACATAACAGATTAAATGCTGCTCCCTTATACGTCAAACTTTCTTTCACAAAATGCATGAGGTCATCAGGAGGGAGGGGCAAGCTAGCAATTTTTAGAAAACTGTGTAAGCGGGCAACAGTGGACAAATGGTAGTTTCTCCTACCCATTTACAGCAGTACATATCAGAGTGGGGGGGATTTTCAGTTGTTTGGCTCCCTGCGATTCTTTACATTATCTATATGCTGTCATATAGATCAACTGAAGTTAAAAGCTTTTCTGTGCACATCTGACTCCACTCCCCTGCACTCTTGTCACTTTACATACCAGCACAGTTCACATAAATTACACAAGCAGATCAACACCACAGGCCTGGAAACAGCATGACACTCTGAGCAATGAAGTTACAACCCGAAGTAAGATGACTCTAACCAAATATTTGGAGATTTTATAAAAGGTCCACATTTAAAAAATGAAACACTCAGATCACTCAGCTTTTTCAGGTGGCTGACTTTGTGAACTTTTGATCAGAGCTGTAACCAAAACGTTCTTAATCCCATTGGATGAAAGTGTGTCTTACATTGGTTTCGACGCCATTATAATCCATGGGGGGGTAGAGACAAAGGGCCAGATCATCAACGCTAAGGAGAAAAGACAACCAACGACAAAGGTGAGTCTGCATGACTGTGACATCATTAAAACTTGCACCTTAATTATGACCCCAAACACACATTTTGATTTGCATAAAAACTATGGAAACCATAATTATTTATATAACATATAAGAACGTCCGCATTAGTTAAAGAAGTATAAGCATCCAGGGTCTAACTGTTAGAAATTTTGTGCTGTTTAGTTCTTTTTGTTTATACTAGTGTGAAGTCTTGACGCCTGTGTGTGTGTGTGTGTATGTTTGTATGCATGTGCCTACCCAGGGCTGATTTCTTTGCTGATATCAGCCAAGTCGTCAAGCTGTGACACGTTCTGGGGAGTGCTGAAGTCACCGTTGGATTTGACAGCTGATTTAAGTTTCCTCAGACAAGCTGCTGCTGCTTTTATCAGTCCCTGGCACGCACCAATCACCTGCCGATCGTTCTCTGACCAGTACATATCCTGGTTGCCTCGGGGTTCATCTCCGTCCTGGTTATCATCGAGTACGTCGTTGAATGGGTCTTCACCCTCAGCTAATGCCTGATGGGATTTGATAGGCAACATATTTTTGCCATTACAGTTCTTATGAGAGGTGAAACTAGACCAAAACCATACCAGAATATAAAACATATTCAATTTTGCTGTAAAGTTGGCGTCTATGGGGACTGACTTTCTTTCATCAGCCAGCTTCAAGTGCACTTTCTGGCACTGCTGGCTTTATTATTATAAAAAAATACACAAAGAAAACTTCTAAAACTGAACGAATAATAATAATAATAATAATGATAATAATAATGTTGAAATAAAGGCCTAGTTATAACCACCAGAGCAAATATGAAATTCACAGTGTGTGTATACCTGTTCAATTTCCTCTATGGCATCTTTCACAACTCGAACCTCACACAACAGAACCACGACCACTGCTGCCTTATTATCTAGAGAAGATCAATACACCCATTATTAAAACCTTGTAAAACTTTGAGCAAAATTACCAGTTAAAGACTAGAATCCTCCTATATCAATATTTAAAGTTTTCTTATTTTGTGTATCAGCTAAAACACTCGTCTGACGGCAGATTTTTTGATCACTTAACTGTGATGCTAAAAATTTGTGGATAAATGTACTTTCTCTGTTTTAATGTTTCTAACAATCCAAAAATGAATAGAAATGGATAAAATTCACACCTGTTCTTTATTAAATGTAGACATTTTGGTTTTGATGAAATAGCTTATGGCACTGATACACAGACTGGGAGTTAGACTGGGAGAAAAACATCCCCACCTGCAGGCTTAATGGTAATACTGCTATTGCTGTCATAATCAATGTAAAGGCATATAAAGCATTATTAAAGTAAAGATATCTCCTGCTTCTAATATTAACATGTAACTTCAAAGCAGTGGCGTTCCGTCAGGCCAAGCACATAAAACACACAAAAGTAAAGAAATCTCTGTCCTTTTATGTCACAGTGCTGTCATGAAGCTGTCTTGTGGCCACAGCTGGCTATCACCGCTTAAAGCTCCACTTGTTTCATAATCATAGGAAACTGCAGCTGTCTCCATTTTATTGGTTTATCTGTCTCAATTAACAATGACTGGAGCCGATTGGCCACCTTTTCTCTGGTGGTTTGCACATATGCATTGTGGATAAACCTCAGATCTTTGACAGCTGTCACTGGGTCCACTTTCACTGCTCTGGGATCAGTTACAATCTGCACGCCCTGTGGAAACAACTAGCATTGGCAAGTAGACAGGTTCCTGGCATTTATCATCATAGTTTCCTCTTGCTAACCAGCTTGGCCAACATGTTTGATATAGAGATAGAGAAGATGAAGAGTGAAAAAACTGTTAATAATGCCTTTAGTATATTAGATAGGAAAGCTGACCATGATGGAGAAAGGCAGACATCTCTGACTATATCTAGTCTAAAAAAACAAGCAAAACAACCAGGTGCTGGCTCAGCTAGCACTGTATACTTAAAAAAAAAAATCAACTTGTAGGGTTGTGTTTCCGAGCTCATGAACAACAGTTTATTTTTGTTTTTTCTGCAATATGTGGTCCTCACAAGACAGCCACGACATGCTTCATAAAATATGATGCTGAACATTAAACTTAAATATGAAATATTTTAAATAAGCTCAACCTTAAAGATAAGCAGCAATAATACTAATCAGTTTAACAGTGACGTGGAACACTTTTCTGCAGAATACTTATTTTTACTTTGATACTTCATGCATAATTTTTCCAAATTTATAGTGTTTCATTGCTTCTTTTCCTAAAACCCCACTGTTTCAAAGTATCATAAAACAACTCCCTGAACGGCTGGAGTTAAACATCATTTTACTGGTTTGTTTTGTTTTGTCTTTGTCAACGGACCTTTTGACAACTGAGGGAACTGGTCGCAGGCAGACCACACTCCTCCTGTTGACATCAGCTGTTCCTGGCTGAGGCTGGAAGAAAGTGTTGGAAAGAGAACGAGGAAGAAGATGTTAAGAAGAAAATAAAACAGAAAGGGGTAGGGCTGCTCGATTACGGCAAAAATGATAATCACGACTATTTTCACTGAAATTGAGATCTCGATTATTTGACGATATTTATTTAACAATAACAATGTATTGAATAATGACTTTAAAGATTGTCAAAAAATAATATAAAATAGTGTGCAAATACTGATAACAGTGCAAATGTTTGCAATATAAAAAATAAATGAAAAATGTAAACATCTATGTTTAGTGAACTTGGAAGTGTTGCTCTGTGGTGCAGCTACGACACTGTAGCAAAGTTTACACACTATGTCTACTTGATCCACGTCTGACTCCGCGAACCCATAATGTTTCCACACCACTGAAGTTTTTTTTACCTCTCTTTTCAACCAGCGGCAGTCACTCCCCTCTCCAAATAACTTCTGCTTAGCTTTCCGAGCTTCCCTCGGGTCCTCTTAATCAGCGGTCCCCGGACCGGTACCGGTCCGTGAGTCGTTTGGTACCGGGCCGCGTGAGTTGAGGCTCAGGTGTGAAATGTATAGTTTTCAGGGTTTTTATCGGTTTTCAGCGTTATTTTGTTATCGTTTTTATCGTTTACTCGGTTTTCCTTGGTCTTTTCACGTGTGTTATGAATAAATTTTCTTTTTTTCGGTACTGGTACTAGTTTTATTTTGTTGTATTTATACGCGACACCTTAAAGGCCGGTCCATGAAAATATTGTCGGGCATAAACCGGTCTGTGGCGCAAAAAAGGTTGTGGACACGTGTTCGAAATGCAGAGGGGTGCGCTCGATTTGTCACACGGAGCAGCGCGAGAGTAAAGCACGAGGGAAGGGCTAATAATCGGCTCAGTCATTTTTAATGATCGTTGAAAGCCCAGATCGTAATCGTGATTAAAATTCGATTAATTGAGCAGCCCTAGAAAGGGGAATATAAAGAAAATACCTTACAACTTACTGTTTTTGTTTTGCTTAAAATAGAAATATAATCTCCTAAATCTGAAGCTTTTATAAATGTTTACTCCTGGTGGTGCTTCTGCAACAAAGAGTAAATATATAATCTACCTTTGGTTTATAAAGTAGTGCTGTCAGCGTTAACACGTTAAAACAGGCTAATCTAATGCAGCTTAAACATGTTAACGCTGTTATCACAATTAACGAGATTAACAATTAATCCACCTGGAGCGCAGACTGACTCAAAATCCCTGAAATGTCTCTGTCACAGCATTTCAGGCAGTTTGTCCTAGCTTTGTCGATTCTGCACTCCAGATGGGTCTGCGCTAACACCGAGTAACCCCTTACATGGGTGCATTAACGCATTAATGCGGAGAGCACTCATTTTTTTTAATCACGGGATTTCCCCAAGTCCTATTTTGGTGCTACCTGTTGATTCTAAAAATGATATTTTTTACCCATTAAATGTTCAGAAATGACAGAAACATGACAGATTTCTGAAAAATATGGTCGTACAAACTCAGTACCATTACTACATCTGAACCATGTAGTCACCAGCCAGGAGAGATCCGGTTAAATCTCACTGTGAAACAGATCGTTTAATTCACCTTAAAACTCATGTCCTTACATAAGTAACTGTAATATGCAGAATTTGTTTATTTCGCCTGGTGTGATTTTTATATTCTGACAGATTTCTATTATGGAGGAACGTAAACCATTGCAAACAAATGTTTGCAAGCCTTATGCTATTTTCTTTACCTTGTTGTTTACCTTGTAATCATTGAAAGACAAAATTAAAATTTCCCAATTTCCCAGGTCCCACATGTAAAACGCTGGGTTTGGTGTCCATACCTTTCTACAGGTGAGCTCATTATGACCTCTACCAGTTGTGCAACTCCCTCTAGAACCTCGACAGTAGCATCTCTGACCAGTCGGCGCAGAGCCAGCCCTGAGACACCGAGAGAACAGAAGGTCAAAACACTCTGACACTGAAGTCGCAATAAAGGTACAGATCTACTCAAATCAACTCACAACACAATAAATGTTGACAGCATCAGCATCAAGAAAGTTACAATGACTGTTTCTGTACATAAGTTTTATTTTTTAGTTCGCAACCACTGAATCACACTTGTTCTATTCAAACCAAATGTGAAGTGAAGTATTTGTGCCATGTGATTATACAGAAATGGCTGTAAGTTCAAAAATGATGTTACTATTACTTAATTCCAGTCTCTGGTTGTACTTTGGAGGTTGCAGTGGCTAAAAGCGGTGAATAAGTGGGTAAGGACGCATCAATCTTCTCCAGTCCGATTCAGACACCTCAGCTTCAGATACCTACTGATACTAGTGTTAAATTATCAAGCTGTACACTTGAATGTAAATGGCCTGTATTTGTATAGCGCTTTACACTACATTCAGTCATTCACACACACACACTCACATTCACACACCACTCTAGGAAAAGACTAGAAATCAATCTGTATACTTAAGGCAATATCAGGTTAAACCTAAACTATTCTTTCCTAAATTTGTCAAATATAATGTGAGACATAAATGTATCCACGAATACAGTTTGCTTCATTTATATTGCATGATTTTAGTAGTAAAATAACAAAAATATATATTTATGCTATTTATTTGTGAGACTTTAACACTGAGCTAAAGTGTGAATACTGCTGTTGCTACATTGGATATACTTTCTTTTCCCCCCCCTCTCACTTTGTCTCACTGTGAGTGGAACAGAGATGCACAGTGTGTCCTTAAAAAGTCTGAGGAAACAAGACAAATAGAAGACGAGTTTGCCTAAGAGAGTTCAGGCTGTGCTAAAGAATAAGAGGGGTCATACCAAATACTGACTTTGATGCTTGTTAGAATTATACGAACTGTTTTTGCCTCATTAACTGTATTGCAGTCTATAATTGCACATTTCAATAAGTTGTTCCTATTTTCCAAAAAAATAGGGTGAGTGAAGACTTCTGTTAGTACTACCGTAGTAAACACAGAAGCGCGTCGCACTGAAGTAAATAGATAAGCCCACAGACGGGCACTTGCTCTGGCTTTTGGAGTCTGGATTAGATTGACAAGTGTATTGCGATATTCTGGCATTGTGAAATGGTCCAAAAACCTGAATGCAGTGCAACGTATTCACCTCGCTCGTCTGAATACAACATAACTATTCTGCTGTTCACAGGGTTTTACCTTGGCTCTTAGGTAGCCAGTAATACACTGTGGACAGTGTGAGGATGCTCTTCATGATGGACTCTGCCAGCTTCTCTCCATCCTGGAGATTGTGGAGGAAAAACAGACAGAAAACAAATGATGTAATGGTCTTTAGAAGGTTTATGTGGAAATTCAAGACCCTGAGATACATGACAATAATTTATGGCTCCAAGTAAGAGCTCAGCTCACATCATCATCATCATTTCTTATTTTTACACTATACCAGACTTCAAAACAATCTGTTTATCAGCTCAGTGACAAACCTTCATGATTACAGAAATAATCTGACCTGTTGTGATGGCAGAGGAGGTTTGGAGAAGGCCAGGCTGAGTTTAGTGGCTTCCTGGGACACTGCCTTCACTGCCTGATCTGTTGACACAGACAGTTGCATCATGTAACAACAAGACCATGAAGGAAGGAATTCTCCTAATGCTTTTTTTCTTTTCTTTTTTTTTTTAATATCAAATGAGTCATTGCAAAAACATTATAAAAACGATGCAAATACATTTCTCACAAAACATTCACTGTAACGAGACATGAACATCATCCAGTTGTCAAAGGATGTTCAAAAGTCTAGGAGCTGAAACAGCAGCAAGAGATCATGATACTCAACTCAAAGTGTCCCAGAAGTTGGAGAGGTTGAATGCTCCATCGGACTCATTTGATTCTCCATCTGCGAAGGAAAATTTTTTTTCAAAATTCTTGGTTCTAGCTCTTAAGCTAAACTGCAGAGGAGTCTTCTTCTTTTGGCTGCTCCGTCGATCATCTGTCTCCATCTCATCCTGTCCCTGCATGCTCTTCTGTCATACCAAACCTTGGCATGTCTTCCTTCACTACATCCATGAATCTTCTCTGTGGTCCTTTTCTCCTGCCTGGCAGCTCCATATACAACACCCTTTGCCTAGGATATTCCATATCCCTCCTCTGCACATGTTCAAAGCATCTCTGCCTTGCCTCTCTAACTTTGTGCTGCTCAGTCTGATCTGTCCATCTGATGTACTTATTTCTAATCTTGTCCATACTGATAACTCCAAAGAAATTCTTAAACTCTGCCACCTCCAGCTCCACCTCCTGTTTTTTCCCCACTTTAGTCCCACTGTCTCCAACCCATACATCATAGAAGTTCAAACTACGATCTTGTAAACCTCCCCTTTCACTCTTGCTGCTCTCCCTCTGTCAAAAGATCACCCGAGACACCTCGTCTCCAGCCTGCTGGAAATCTCTTCTTGTGCACTGTCTGTTGTTTTGGATGGTTGACCCCCAGGCCTACTCATCTAACCTTCACTACCTTTACTCCTTGCAACTTCACTGTTATCAAAGTGCAGAGAATTATTTTCAGTACAAACAATTATTAAAATAATTTATTCTTTAAATAATCTAATTTCAACTTCTGAAAAAGGAGAATTAGCTTCTATTGCTGTTTAAAATCACTGTGAAATGGATAAGCGGTCAGAAAATAGGATTTAAAGACAACTCCACGGCACAAAAATATTTCTTTCTTACAATCTTTATTATTTAAGGGTTTCTTGGGTTAAAGCTGTCAGTTTTGATCAGACTCATCTTCTCAAGTGTTAACAGAAGTCAGTGCATTTCTGTGTCGTTTCTGGACATTACTTTGGAGAAAAAAAAAAACATATTTGGGCTTTTATATACTGGGTTTTCTTCAGAGGGAAGACCAAAACCTCCCACGTACAGAAAAACACGGACCTCATACTAAATAATTAATAAACTAGATTGAAAAATTCAATAATTAAATGATCAACTACAATTAGCTAGCCACTGCTTTGGACATAATGAAATGCCTGAATATTTTGATGACGACAACAAAGTAGGTGTTTTGGATTTATGGCAGTAACTAAAGGGCCACTTAGGGCTGAGTGACGCTTTAGTTCCTGTCTGTATGTTTGTCTTGATAAACATTTTTTTTTCGTATTAAAATGTCTGATATTGTCCATTTTGTCATTTTCGTATTTCAGATTTACACTTTTGTAAAAACAAACCTTTAAGTATTCTTATGTCCTGCACAAGCAGTTGTTTTTGTTCACAAAACTGACTCATGAAACACACTCTATATACCGAGTAACACTGATGTCTAATGTCACATTTAGGTCAGTTAAGATGAGGACAAGATAGTATAACTGAAAAAGCAAGACTCGTAAATCTACAACAGTTAACAATAAAGTTTATACCAATGTTAGCACATATTTTAGCACATATATTAGCACGTTTAGCTAGCTTGACATAAGCTTTTATGGTTAAGCAGTTTCATTTGTGACAACACAGACAGATAATGTGGCGCAGTTACCTCTGACTCGGTCTCGGATACAGTTGATGGAGTTAACCAGATTCCGCAAAGCCACTTTTCCACCACAACTATCAGCACTCATGTCGCCAGAGTTTGTGGATCGTGTTACATGCGTGTTGTGGAACTACATAAGAGGAGCCCGTTGATAGGGGGACAAAAATAAATGAAACAACGGCGCCGCCGCCTGCTTACCCGGCTGCCATTCAGCCAGGAGTGCAGCAGAGGGCGCCAATGAGCTAGTCTTCAAAAACTATTAAACAAGCCCGCATACCTACCTCAAACCAAACAAACAAAGACATTACAACTCTTTAGTTCACAGTTGTGCAAGATGTTTGCTTTATTTATCTATAAATTCTTAGCAGGGATGAATTACTCTACACAAATTATTTTGTAGGTCTGTGTGCTATACAGCCATACACTGTTGTATAACAACCCCAGTAATTATCTATTTATTAAAAATCAAGGTATATTAACACCACATCGTCAAGTGAAAAACAATACAAATTGTAAGTACACATTAAACACATTAAGTAAACAAACTGTCATTTATCATTAATGCAGTGATATAGAGAGTTTATCTGTAAGCACAAGAATCTGGATTTTTTTGATGTGTTTTACTTGTACATATAAAACCAGTTAATCAGAGGATTAAAGATTGAATGATTAACGTTAATTTAATTATTTCAATCTCAAATTTGAAGACATTAATTTGGCTGCTTGATGAAAAAGAAGACTCCGGTCCCGAATCCCATCAGGCACAAAACGACACTCACACCGAAAAACACGGCTGCAGGGCTCACTCTGCTCCTCTTATTTTCCTTCAACTCTGAAAATAAAATTTAAAAAAAATATTTTATTTGTGTATTTTGAAAATGACTGAAAATTGCATCTGTTTATGTCTAAAAAGGCCTTCTTGTAATAATTCTATGACTGTTGTTATTTAAGGTAAACATAGGAAGCCAGATGACTTTTTTTAATATAGAGTCTGCAAAGGAGGCATTTATCACAATAAACAGATATCTGTGCAAGACTGCAAAGAATCTGTTAGCAAAGCTTTTAATGTTTCTAAACTGCATTCGAGCAGGCTTTGGTTGTATGCAGGTAAAGGTGTGAAAAAAGGATTATGCTTCAGTCAAGAAAACACTGGTTTTCATGTGAAAGCTACTCAGTTTTTCTTTAGCCTTTAAAATTTTACCTACATTTGTTAACAGTTACCAGCACAGAGAACAGGAAATCATTTCCTGGATATCCTCTAGCTAGCCCAAAAGCCCCTAATATTGGCATGTTGCACATGTCAGCAACCAAAGCCAAACATATTTTTTGCTTGAGGCACGCTTGGACTCATTGTAGTTTTCTCCTAAGTTGTAAGTGCTGCAACTCTGCATCAGCGCTGGTGTGGAACAAGAAGAAGTCAAATGAAAAAAAATCACAGAGATTTTTTCTTTGTATGTTTTAAAAATTTCTTCAGGATTCCTTGTTTTTTTTTAAACTGTTGCACCTCTTCCCTCTATCTAAGCTGGATATTTCTGAGCTCCAGCATTAACATGACCGAACCCTCTCATAGATCCATGCCTCCAACCAAGAGCGAGGTTTACAAAAACCATATTACAATACAAATCAAGTGAATTGTGATATCACTTTTGACATGTGCAACTGCTTAGAAGGATGACAATAGGAAGCATAAATTAAATATAAGACATCAGACGGTAGATGGAGGGTTCCCCGATTCACAGAACATGAATGTTAGGAGGCTGCTTTTTGCTTCAAACAGCTTTATTTTAGTTGCTAATCTAGGATGTATGAAAGCGATAATGTTGCAGACCTTACATGTAAAAAGAAAAATGTAATCTAACACAGTATTGGTATTGCTGGAGGGTTTTTACAATTGGTATCATCACCTGATTGTCTACTGGGGAGAATTTCAAGAGTCCTTGGCTTATTCATAAAAACAGTTCAGTTCAGTTTAATTCAATTTTATTTATGAAGTGCCAAATCACAACAGCAGTTACTTCAGGCACTTTATATTATAAGGTAATAATCCTACCCCAGCTCTTGCTGATAGGCACTTGCGCAGCTTGATGCTCCACCATGCAGGTATAATAGTCTCCAGGTTTTGGAGTGAACAGAAGCATAGAAATCATGTGGAATGTCCCATCACGATTGTGACGATAACGTAAGTTTGCCACGCCCTCTGTGAGCTCCACTCCATTCTTGGTCCATGTGAAGTTGATGGTGGGTGGGTAGAAGTGGTTGGCCACACAAAAGAGAGTGTTCATCACACTAGCCTCCCCCTCATACCGGGTATAGATGTAGATGTCAGGAGGATCTGGTCAAAGAGGGACACATTTCATACTTTTAGAGAAAAATCCCCCCCAAGAAATATTACCTTGATAGAATTAAGAATATATAACAAATTCACAGATTTAAAATGTAAGACATTGACAGAGACATTTAAGCATCTAAAAAAAATGAAAATTGTATTTTCTTTTGCTTTTTTTTTTTTTGCCAAACATTGTTGGTGCCGGAGGTTATTTTAATATTTAAACGAGACTATTACCATAAAAAAAACTGCAAATGTGCCAGTAGAAGCCAGAGGGGCTCCTAATGGGACTGTAGCATTTTTAAATGAGTTGCTTCTCTGTCATCATCTATCTGCAGGTTACATGTTCATCACAAAGTTATAGCAGTTAACTAAACCAAAACTAACAACTAAAACTAGGCACAAAAATCACTCAAAAATTAAAATATAAGCCAGGCTTCTGATTTAAAAATATGATAAAAGAAAAACTAAATACTTTGTTTACAAACCAACCAAAAAAAATAAATAAATATATGAGAATTTTGAGGTGAGGAGGCCTTATTGATACGTTTATTAATTTCAAGGCTGAACCATGAAATAATTGCCAGAAAATTCTGAGTGTTTATTGAGCCTTCTGATGAGAAACAAATATTAATTTGCATATGAGAGTTTTCACTTGTGTCATATTTGCTACGTCAGGCAGTTTTTTGAACATTTATTCCTTAAAATTATGTTGTCTAATTAACTCGTAAAGTAAATAAAGGTACTAAATATAAAAAGGTAATAAATAAAGATGGGAACCGACTGCTTTTTCACTGGAAAGTTCATACGCTATGGCAGACAGACTGCAAAAGTAAAGCTTATATGGAAACAATCTAAACATTAATGGTGTCATTATTCTGTAGACATTACATTGTGCAGTCAGCGGAGTAATAACAAAGCTAAAATGCTCTATTGACAGTTTAATTTAATCTGTGCTGAGAAGCAGAATGAGATATCCAGCAGTGCATGGTTATAATTCACAGACATAATGGGCTGGATTGAAAAGAAATGATTTGTACCTGTGCTGACCTCCAGAATATTTTCTCATTGCCACTTGACCCTCTTTGAGCTTTGTTTTTCATCATCACCAACTATGCTGCACTTTCATTTGAGAGAAACTCCAAACACTAAAATAACAGTCTACAGAGTCAGGCAGCTATTCTCTGTGAGTTTGCCACACGAAATGACACCACACACATTGCATTTGTTCATCTTATCTATAATTTCTAAGAAAATGCTGGCATAAGCAGAAGAGTTCAGTTTATGGAAGGAGACTGCCTTAGAGTAGTTTAGAAAGGCCACTGTAACACAAGTTTCAAGCTAATTTAATAGTATATAATTACTTTTCAAAGGTGATTCTGTCTCAATATATTTTTCAAGCCAGAGAGAAGGTCACTGATTAGCTGTGTAATTAAGGCTCCACCAGTCTAGCACCTGCCTGGAGCACTTAGTTTCAAAGCAGCTTGTGTAAGTAAGTCACAGAAAAGAGATATTTTAAACCCGGTATGTGCTCTCTTAATTCTTTCTGGTTACATCTGCTTTCAGTTGGATCAACAGTGCTCTTTCTTCCCCTCGATCAGGCTGAGCTAAACGAATGCTCGCAATGAAGTGTGCCAAGATCAGTACCTTGCCGTAGGGGAGCGCCGGGATCAGCATTTTTTGCTTTACCCAAAACGCTGTGACAGTGTGCAGTGCTGGCTTTGGCGAGTTCATAAGCCATTTTCTGGATGTCTTTTGCAGGTTGTGGCAAGTGAGGTAACACCCACACTACCTCTTTCTTGTTGAAATCGGCATATGCAACCACGTCGTCGTCAACAACAACGTCCACCCGCACATCATCAGATTCATAGCATCCATAGATGTAATGGAAGTTGTGGGACTGTGCTGAAAAGAAGAAGGTGCAAAATGAATACATGATGGAAGCAGTTCAAACATTCTACACACTGATTTCCCCGACCTTAACTGCAGCCAACAGGCTGGTAGGGGGTGTAGCTCTTCTACTCAGTATATTCTAGTTTGAAATAAAAGAGTCGTTTTTATTGTTGTTAATTAATGAATTACTGTCTAACTGGCTAATTTTAGTCAACTCTATGTCAAGTGAGGACACAACACTTTTCTTCTAGAGTTGTTTTGTATTCACTCGTTCTTTAGGTTTAGGCACTAAAATCGTTGCGTTTACCAAATCACTGTGTCTTTGCTTGAACTACCATATTTACTGAGCACTTCACAGGTGTCCATATGTGATTAGCTGGGAATGATAGACCTCACTCACTTTTAGCAAACCCTGGTTAGCTGTATTCCCCTGTTTGCAGCTTGTCTTATCTTCACTTAGGCTAACAGCCTTCAATCTGCTTAATCTGCTGCTGTCTCTTTCACACTGCTCCAATTGCAGCTACTTGAACACAGAGCAGAATACCTGTTCAGTCAGTCATATTAATTTCACCTGAATCTGCTGACAAAATACCTTTCCATGTCTCCTTTATTATGCTATAGGACAGTACCCTTTAATCTTTAAATGTATGCACTTTAAAGTTTCAGAGCTCTAATGAGCCATCACATTATAAATACACTTAGCACAGTGAGTGCACTCAGCACTAAAATAAATATATTAACTTGAATTAAAATGTTTATTTTACCACTCTGTGCACTAAATCAGCTGATTATTAATTTTCTGTAGCATTAATTGCCTGTCTTATTTGCAACAGTGTTGCATTTTACCATTACATTGTTATGTTGTTCATCACCATTTTCTCATCATTATCTGACAGTGTCTATGGTTGGGGCAGGTCAGCGTAGGCTGCACTCACAATGATCAATTTTTGTAAGGAAAGAGTCATGCGACGTGTCAAACACCCCTTTTCATGAGTATGCA